CCGGCCCTCCCCGTGTCGCTCGACTGCGCATGGCACGCTGCGTCCCTCCCTCTCAGCGATCGCGCTGGCGGCGGAGCGGCCATAAACTGAGGAGGCGGAGCCGAGACGGGTCAGGACGACGCGTTGACTCCAGGACCAGGTACCGGGCTGGCGGGGCCACCCGGCGCGCTCCAGGGCCCAGCCCCTCCCCGCTCTGATTGCCGAGCCCATCTCTGCGGGGGCGGGCCTTCGTCAGGGCGGCCCTCCTGGGCCCACCCTCGCCCTCCGCGGGCCCTCCCCCTCCCCCTCCCCCTCCTCTTCCATCCCCTGGAGCTGCGGCCGCGGCTGAGGACACCATAGGCCGGCGACGGGGGACCGCGGAGCAGGGCTGCCAGGCCGAGAGGCGAGCTCCTGCCCCTCGTTCCTGCCCCCCGGGGCCAGGTGTCAGTTTGTCGTAAAGCCAAGAGGCGGCAGTTGTAGAGGTCCGCGCACCCCGCATCCCTCACCCCATCACCCCAGTCCCTTTCCTGAGCTCTTTGGTTCCCCACGGGGGCCGAGACGGGTGAGAGGCCGGGAAGAGCACGAGGGAAGGGGAGTCGTTAGTATAATTGCTCATGGTTTTCCGTTTCTAGGGAACTAATCTCTCGGACCGGCTTTGGGCTGCCTTTAGCTTGGCTTCCCGCCTTTGCCCAAGAAGGGGAAACCGTTCGACTTGGCGGTCCCCTTTTAAAAAGTAATATCTGTTGAAGTAAAATTACGTTGGAGGATGTACTTGGGGAGTTAAAAAACAATTCCACACTGGCTGATTCATACATAATAGAGACACTCAAGTCTATTTCTTGACTCAAGAGTTGAAGACAAGGAAATCTCACCTAGGAACCTGCCTCAGGACCACAAACCCAAACCCGTGAAGTCATAGTGACCCTGAAGGACAGATCACAGATCAGAACTGCACCAGATGGTTCCCAAGGCTATAAACTTTTGCGAAGGCTGACTGTCACATCCTCTTCCCAGGAGCAACCTTTTCGTTAGCAGCCAAGCACTTGAACCACGGTGCCACCAGTATACCTTTCTAGGTCAGGAGCTAGTTAATTGGGTCATTAGTTAATAACAAATTCCCTGCCATCAAGTCAATTCCGATTGACAGTGACCTGGCAGTATAGAACTGCCCCTGTAGGATTCTGGGAGTGGCTGGTGATTTCAAACTGCTGACCTCAAGGTTAGCAGCCCAATGTGTAACCACTACGCCACCCTGACCCCCTAATCATTAGTTACAGGGGTCAAATATCTTCTCCAACTTTTAATCACACCACCCCACTCGACCCCCACAAAACATAGCAACCAAACGTACTGCCATCGAATTGATAAGGCTCCTGGTGGCACAATATAGATTTTCTGTGGCTGCTAAATTCTTTAAGGGAGCAGACAGCCTCATCTTTCTCCCACAGAGCTTTCCGAACACCAGACAACTCCACCAGGGCACCTTTACTTTTTAACTGGATTTCTTAATAGGTTGTTTGTCTCAACTGCAGGGTTTATGGTGGTGGTATAGCAACAGGCATTTAACCTCAAAGAGTGACGGTTCAAACCCCCCAGCCGCTTGTTGGGAGAAAGATGAGACTCTCTGCTCCTGTAGAGATGTACAGGTTTGGAAATCTTATATAGATGGGCTGTTACAGTCAGAATCAACTGCATGGCAGTGAGTTTTCTTTTTTTCTTAATCTTTGTGGTTGCAGTGTTTATGGTTGTGACCCCAGCTAGGACTTTTAGAAAATCAACGACAAAATGGAAAGAAAATGAGCACAAATGAATTCGTCTTTCTGACCCAGTTGGTACCCAGTCAGTAGCACTGACAAAGCAGGTGTTCCCTTCTCAGCTCTCATGTTGTTTTTGTACACCCAGTCCTCAGCTTCTCCTAGCACACTGTCTCCTAGAACTTTCAAACAGGTCTAATCTGCCGTCTGCTACTTTACTCTGAACCCTTCCTGCGCCTCAATTTCCTGATCCGAAAGGCAGGGGTGATCATTGTGAGTGTGAACTGATGTCTGGCACACAGCCCACCACGGAGAGCTGCTGCTTTCATGATGTGTATGACTAGGCACACCTCGTTTTACTGAGCTTTGTTATTGCAGTTTGCAGATACTACTTTTCTTTTGTGTAAGGTGAAGGTGCGTGGCAAGTTTCTTAACAAGTTTGTCAGCACTATGCTTCCAGCAGCAGGGGCCCACTTCGTGTCCCTGTGTCACACTTTGGTAATTCTCACAAGATTTCAAACTTTTTCATAATGCAATTGGTGTAGACTTTGTGACTCCAGTGTAGTACAACATAACTTTCATATGCACTAGGACACACACAAAAACAGTCTCGCGTTAGTGCTGCAATACTTGCTTTCTGGCAGTGACCTGGAACCGAGCCTACACCTGCTCTGGGGTCTGCCTGTATCAATGTAACAGATAGGTGAGGGCCCCTTGCATATGTTAGACTCCCCCCAAAAAACAACCAAAAACCCAAACCCAAACCCATTGCCGTGGACCGATTCTCCCATCTATTACAGCGGAGAATTGAGAGCCCCACTCATGCCCGCAGATAGCCAGGCCTTTCTTCCTTGGCACCACTGGGTGAGTTCAAACCCATCTTTCTGAATTAGGCATATTTGCCCCAGGAATTCTCTGTCTTCACAAACTGCTATTCTAGTGGAAGAGACAGGCAGACAGGCAAAGAAGGGTCTGGAAGGTTGGTGAGATTTGAACACCTAACAGGTGGGGAGGTGGTATCTGAGAGGACTTTCTGTAGCACAGGACACCAGCGTGGAGGACTATGCCAAACAGACCAAAACATTTGCTGGGTAGGGGGGGGAGGTGTGGTCCAGGCCGAGGACCCAGAGACTTTGGGGTGTTTTGTGCTCCTTTTCCTGTCTTATCTTCAGACTCCACTCCCTCAACAAGGCCTCTCCCAAGGCTGGCTTCATGCCCCTTTTTAAATCTCTCTCGTGATTTTCTTCTTGAGTGAATTTTGTTCACTCCCATAGCATTAGCTGATAACTCCCAGATCCACTGAGCATCTCTCATCCACAGAGCCTTCCTTTCTTAGTGGAAGTCTTTTTCTAACTGACTTCTGTGTGTGTGTAGCCCTGGTAGCACAGTGAGTCAGCACTAGCTTGCTAACTGAAAGGTCAGTTGTTTAAACCCTCCTGATGGATCCTTGGGAGAAAAGACTTAGCAGTCTAATCCCCAAAAGATTACAGCCTAAGAAACCCTATGGGGCATTTTCACTCTGCCAGATAGGACCTTTATCAGTTGAAATGGATTCAACAACACACAACTGCCCATATGTACCTATATGTTATGTGATGGGGAGGAGGACAGAGCCCACATCCTCAGAACTGCTATGCTCCCAGCACACTGTACACTAGACCCTGGGGCCCTGCCTTCCTGCAGACTTGGGGCCTGCCCGCTGCACTGGAGACCCACTTGGCAGCTCTGGGGTTCAAGCAGCCAGCGGGGCCAGGGGTTAAAAGAGAGTCAGGGGAGATGCTGCCTGTGTCTGTCCCCTTCCTAGGCCCTGCCTCCTGCTCCCACCGTGCAGGGAGGACTCCACGGAAACAGGCTGGTCTCTGAGGGTCTGGAATATGAATCTGAGCCCAGAGCCTAGAAGATACTAAAGCTCCTCTCTGGGAAGAGAAGAGTTGCTCAGCAGCGCAGGCGGCAGCTTCAGTTTCCAGCCCCCGAATTCTCCTTGGGTCCCTCCTAGGAGGAGAGGGGAGCAGCAGCAGCAGGTTTGTGCACAGAGTTAGAGTTTTAACTGTTGTCCGAAACACGAAATGTCAGATAATGAGATTGTAAGTTAGGAGTAAGTTTGCCGTCTTAGAAGCCTTTTGGTTTCTTTGGAGTCACCACAATAAATAGACTTTAAACTGTCTCAGATGAGTATCTTTTTTTTTCCCCAGATGAGTATTTTTTAAAAAACAACTAGCAGCATTTTATCAAATAAATACTTGTGTGAAAAAAAAAGAAATACCTGCATAGAGTTTCTAAAGTACTGATTCAGGGCCTGTTGAAAAGCAGCAAGCCTCTGCTCTCCTGTCTCCACCCCAAGGCTGCTCTTTATTAACTACTCTGTCTTAGTCTGGCGACCGCTATATTTCCCAATAGCACTCAGTCTTGCTTCTCTGACATACAAGATGACTTGCTCTCATCTCTTCTCCCCCCTCCAATTTCTAAGTTTAATCACTCTATTTCTAGTTAATCTCTTAGTTACCGAGATACTGATGGATATGATGCTAACCAGGTTTCAGCATAGCCCTCAGACTATGATGGCTTAGTACGAAAGGCCAGTGACAACTCTGAAGATAGATAGATTTGCAACTGGCCAAGGGAGCAGCTCAGAACTGGGCAGCCTTTGTCTCTGTTGTACATGAGGTCCCTAAGGGAGAGGGAGAGGCAGAATGGAGGAGAGGGAAAGAGAGAGATCTGGGGGTCCTAGCCAAAGGCAGCTAACGGTCATTTATAATAACATTAAATTATACATCTCTTACTTGTCAACTTTCTTTTTTTTTTTTTTTTAAACATTTTATTTGGGGCTCATACAACTGTTATCGCAATCCATACACACATCAATTGTGTTAAGCGCATTTGTACATCATTCTCAAAACATTTTCTCTCCACTTAAACCCCCACATTAGGTCATTTTTCCCCCTTGTCAACTTTCAACCTTATCTGCACCCTCTTTGGAAGATGAGGACATGAACTCCCCTAGCCATTACTCCTATCTCTTCTATTTCCCATCTGTGTCAGCTGAACTGTTACTTCCAGATTTTCAAATTTTATAACATTCACGTTCTTTCCTAGTACCATAATCACGTCTGTGGGCTTTGTCTACAATTCCATTGTAAAACTCGAAAGCTAGTAGCAAACATGTACGATATAATCTTGTAAGCGTTGTTCACTAAAGAGCCAAGTGTAAGCTTCTCTGTGGTACCATTGTTTTGACCTCTGTGCCATAGTCAAGAGCAAGCGGGTTCTTACTTATTGCTCCGCTGCTTAAAAGTATTCCACATTTAGGTTCAGTTCATTCTGACTTTACCTTTATCCCATAATCCTTCTTGAGTTTCTGTTGACTTTAGGAAAAGAAGCTGTTTTACATCTTCTGTCTGTTAACACTCATCTTTTTTGCTCATTTATATATTTTACTAAATCATGTTTTTTTCAACCCAACCAACTTTGTGTTCTAATTTCGACAGATTCTTTTCCTGACCTGTTTCATCACTGTCATCCTGTGAATTTTTTTTAGTGAACTTAAAAAAAAAAAATTTTATCCTTTTCTTAGATTTTAGTCTCCTTTGGCTGGTGTACATCCTCAAGCACCTTTATTTATAAAGTATGTGGAAGGCAAAATGTTTTTCATTCCTTTTGTATCTGACAAATTATTTTGCATGCTCCATTTTATTGACAGTTCATTTGAGTATAAAATTCTCAATTCAAAAGAATTTTCTATAAGAGCCTTGAAGGCATTGGACCATTTCTTCTAGCACCTGGTGCTGTTTTTTAGAAGTCTGATGTCATTCTGATTCTCATTTTCCTTTTCCATTTCTAAATAGTTCTTCTATTTTTATAGTACTCTTCTAATTTAGATATCTCTTTGTTTGATCCTCTTCATCTTATTTTCTAGTTTTAAAAAATCTTTGTCTTTTCCTTTGCCATCTGAAAGATCTGATTCATATTGAAGGTTTAATTATGATTAGATGTAATCTTAAGAATTATTTCTTGCTATATTGTTTTTTTGCTTTATAGAGGCTGTATCTTTTGCATTCTCTGCAAAAATTAGGGGTTCTTTGTACTTGTATTTAAGTTCTCTTCTCTTCCCTGAATCATCTTTGTTTTCTCTCTCTGTAAATGGAATGTGTGTGTGTGAGTGTGTATGTATATACTTTAAAAGCTTTCTTGTTGATAACAGCTATCCCTAATAATAATACCTTGATTCACTGTTGTTTAAAGGTAGATTTCTTAAATGATAGTTTGGAAAGGATACAGCTTTGATTTGGGGGTTGGGAGAAAGTGTGATAGGAATTTTTGTTTTTTAATTAAATATTAGTAACCAAGTTATCAATAATTCCATACTCCTGGGAACAGCTATGTAGTAGATTCTATTTGTTTCCTGAAATGTATTTATAATAAACATTTTAAATTAAAAAAAAAATAAAAGCTTTCTTGTTTTTAAATGTCTGGTGTCTTTGCTAGCCACTCGTATTTATTAATACTGGAATAGAAAAGCTGACTGGGAACTCTGTCTATATGACCAGGTGCCCAAGACTAGTCAGCTGGCAAGTGTGGATTTGGGCTGTCTGGGCATCAGTGGGCAGTGATGCTGGAGGCTTGTTTTCAGTTCCACTTTCCCTTCCTCCTTCCTGTTTGTTACAGACTTGATTCAGACACCCTTCGGACTGGCCTGGTGGGCAAATTGGCCTTCCCTGTGCTTAAGCCTCCTGTCCGTATTTCACGGCACACCACTCTTCCCCAATTTTTCCCGCTCTGAGAAATGTGTTGAGTTTTCATTTATCAATAGCCTGTCTCATTCTACTCTCTGATGTAGGTTTATAATTTTTTTATATTTAGTTTTCATAATTTTTTATTTATAATTTTTATTTACTTGAGTGATAATAGTAAGAGAGGTGGGATCAATTCTTGTGCTCAGGTTAAATTCTTGAATGAAAAAGCCTAAGTATCCCCAGTTTTTAAATCTCTGAATAAATTAGAAATGTAATACATTGTTCCAAGTGTGAGCAGCGGAAGGCAGCAAAATGGCCAAGTCCAGGTATTAGATGGCTGCTGGTAACCTCATTTAGAGATTTGATAGTTGAAATCCAGAGAACCAAGGGAACTTGATCAAGTTCACACAGACACAAGAGCGAGCGCCAAGGTACTTACCAGGCCTGCTTGCTTCCAGAGCCTGTGCTTTCTTCCGTGACACCATGTTGTCATTCGTAAGTCTCCTCTGCTGGGACTTCCGATTACCACAGGGTGGTACCTGGAATGCTCCAGGGAGCCTGCAAAAGCAGATACCTACGCTTTATCTTGGATTATGGGACAAAGGTTTTTAATTGCCAGAGGGTGCTGAATAATTTTTTTTTTCTGAAGAGGGGCAGTAGGCCAAGTAACTTTGCGAACTTATTCGCTAGATATTTTAAGTCTTCTTAGTTTTTCTTACATTGTATAGTCACAGTATGTACGGAAATAAGGAAATTAGCTCACTGTCTTAACTTCAGGAGCCCTGGTGGTACAGTGGTTACACTTTGGTCTGCTAACAGTAGGTCAGCAGTTCAAAACCCCCATTGCCTCCACAGAAGGACAAGGCTTTCTACTCCTATAAAGAGTTACTGTCTCAGAAACCCACTGGGGCAGTTCTACCCTGCCCTATCGGGTTACTCTGAGTCAGAATTTACTCGATGGCAGCGAGTTTGATTTTGCTTTGCTACCTACACTTTAACCTTGCTTAATAACTAAACCAAGCTCATTGCCATCGAATCATTTCCTACTCAGAGCATCCCTATGTGTAGGACAGAGTAGAGGGCCCTCTGAAGGTATCTCATGACGGAGACTTCTACATCTCTTCTCTGGAGAACAGCCGGTAGGTTCAAAGTGCTGGCCTTCCACTTAGCAGCCAAGTACTTTAACCACTGCAACAGTGGGACTCCTTAAACTTTCCTAGTAGCTTCTATTTTTGTAAATTAATCTTTTGTTTTGACTGTTTGAAACATTTGTAAGTCCTTCCTGTGCCTTTTTCTTTTCTTTTTTTTTTAAACATTTTATTAGGGGCTCATACAACT